AAAAGCAATCGAGGGATTTGCGATTTTATTAAGACGAAAACATATTATCTTGTCTTTATTGATCCTACTGTTTGACGTAAGCAGAATATAGACGTAAAGAACCATATCATTAGAAAGTCGAGCGATTCTTGATGAACTTTTCAATAATTACAAAATTCCGGATAACTGTAAAACTCTAGAACAACCATACTCAACCTGCGGCCCGCGGGTCGCATGCGGCTTCCAAGTTTTTTTTTGCGGCCCGAATCACAATTATTAAAACTATAGGTTTCTGTTTTTATAATCTTGAGTGAAATGCGCGAAAACATTTATTGGTCGAAGCGCTAAAGATCACACCATTGTGGCCGGGTAACATAGCGGAAGTCTGTGGCAAATGGATTACATCAAATGCCAAACCCTCCCCCCACACACACACATACGAATGTGGCCTGAAGGAAAAAAAGGTTGAGTATGGCTGCTCTAGAACGAAATTCAAGCCTGCTTGCCAAAACCAGCGCAGGAACACGACCGGTTTATCACAAAATTTAGGCAAAGGCCTAAATCAATTATTTGACCTATTCTTAAATTGTGATTATACAATAACTGTATTATTCTCATTCAATTTTAAGCTAGTAAGTAGTTATAAAATTAGCTATAAATGTAAATATTCGTTAATTTAATTACGTTTATGTTTACATAAATAATTATTCAGAAAATCACCTTTTCTTACTTTGAACATCTACAATGTAATTATATCAAGGAAAAGCGAAGGAAAATTAAAAAAATAATCGACTTACCTTAAGGAAGATTAATTGTAATTTTTCGAGCTTATACGTAGATATAATTATTTCCCATCTTACCCTAATATACGTGGATACATATTTAGTTCCCAGATATCAAGTGATTTTCGTAACTCGCACTTTAACGGAATGATTACCGAGGTTTGATATATGATAGGAGTGAATATGGGGCATTTTGTTAACAAAAAAAATACGTGCTGTTGAGTATGTTACAAGGAAACTACAATGTAATTATATCTACGGACAAGGTCGGAAAATTACAATTATTCTTTCTTAAGGTAAGTCGATTAATTTTTTAATTTTGTTTGTTTATTTATTTATTAAAAGAAGACCCTGTGTAGTTTGTCAGTTGAGATTTTATTATTTTTTGTTATTGATAAAAAAGTTTAAGTAGGCCATTTTCGACCAATGTAGAAACACGAGTCATGCTTATGAATTATACGTTTCTAGCGCGGAATTTTTTACGTATATGTTGGGTGGCACCTAAAAAAAAGGCATCATTTATACCCAACGTGTGTTGCCTGGACAGCTAAACTACAAATTTATAAAAATAACGGAAAAAAAACACAAATATTCAACGAATAAATGAAAACTTTTACCAAAATTCGCGGGCCTATAATATCGCGGCAGACAGGTTATTTTCTTATTGAAAAATTTCGCGATATTTCCAGCGTTATATAGTTTGACTATAAAAGCGATAAGCTTATAAAAACAACATCGATATAGTTATTTTCGAGCCCATCAGCCACACTTAACGCAAGGGATGATGATCGACAGCCGAGTATTATTAAATTATTATCTATCGATCGGGTAGAGAATTTTCCAAAAAAGCGATGAATAAAGGGTGTTGTTCGTGAAACTCACATATTCAATTTAATTTCGCATAGTAAATCCACGTAATAATTTCAAGCCAACCCTGCCTTTTGCAACACCCAACGGTCATTGTATCAACTCATTTATTAAAATCCCTTCAGTTTGTTTAATGTCATTTCTTTTATCTCACTTCTTCCCATGATGCTAAGAGTAACGAGTAGACAGTGATTACTCGAATAGTTTTCTGGACCGATGAGATGGATGCTGGGGTTGAGGCGACGCTTGCGCTGAGCGGCTTCCGCCCCCAATTTTGAAAACGAAGCAAAAACAAAGAAAAAAAAACCACCTGTTGTCTTGTTGATCCCTTGTGTTTTAGTCACGCCATGTTGTAAAATTTGTTAATAGATTTAAATTAACCCAGTGTTTTTGACCTCAAGAGTTTATAACAAGAGTTAATAACATTCTTGAAAAGTGCACCCTTGTTCTCATTTTGTGAATTCCCGGTATATGAAATATTTACCGGCATCTTTGTGCACCATCCTCATCGGTTACAACCAAGCTCAATAAACAAGTGAAAGTTGAAGGGACATGACGGTTGTTGGTTTAACATTGATGAGTTAAGATAAGTACCCTTTTTATTATTTTTAAGTCGATAGCCAAAGGGCTAAAGAGAGCGAATAACCGCGAGATAAAGAGGGAGTGGAATGGTACCAGACATTTTGTGAACGTGAAGCGTGTTTGTGCTCGCTTAATTATTTTTTGTCCTAGTTTAGTGAACATTTTTGCTTAGTTTTAACCCCCTTTTTTATGTTACATTGTATGTGGTCATGTGCACATGTACTTATGGTATATTTCTGCCTATTGTAGTTGGTTGGGTATCTGTATATATTACAGTTTCGTTAGGTATTTTATGAAGTTTTTTTTGTATATAAATTAATTGAATAAAGGTTGAATTTATACTTGAGTTGACCAAATATATTTGTGTTATTTAATTATTAAACGCCACAAAATTCAAATAAAGAATCAGAAGCAGCACTACGGTAAGCAGTCCTAAATTAGTTTTTTGCATTGAAAGCAACCCTGTTTATGTGTAGGCTTTAGACAAGTTCTGCATCAGATGTCACATCTTCTAAATTTTTTAATAACGTAAATTGCAAACTTATTGGCGCGGCTGTCGACAGATTACGATTGCACTAGAGATGTATCGAATCCGACCGGAACCGGCATTCCGACCGCTAGCTGGACCGGACCCCCGGAATTCCTGGCCGAGATTGGGATCTTTACGAAGGTATTCCAACAGCTCAACGTTATTTTATAAGTTCTATCCATCTAAAATATAAAACTCCGTAATTTCCGCAAATTTTACAGTTGTAGACCAAAATATTTATAAAACTGGCAACAGTCTAAAAACAGAAAACTACAAATTATTTTACAAAATCATTAGAAACTATACTAAACAAATATTTTGCAGTTGGTTCCTATACTATAATAAAAAGAGTAATTAATTTAGTAATTAATTGGCCAACTGCCACTCGTGGTGACTAAATGATTTGCCAGCGCCAAACATACCATGAATGGCCACTACTTGAAGTAACGTATATAGGTTTAAAGGCCGTTAACTTGCCATAACAAAATGTTTGTTGCTATTGCTATTGAAGAAAAAAATCTTACCAGAATAATTCAAATCCGTGAAATCCTCGGAATTCTCGCTCAAACGGTTCTGCAACAGTAACAAAAGTTCCGGAAAATCTTCGATCTTAATACCCATATCCGGAATGATGGAATTGATCCAATCTGTTGATTCGGTAACGTCAGAAGATTTCGAGACACTCCTCAAGTCTCTGGATTTTTCCAGGCGTTTCTGCTTCAGAATAGTATTGATGGCGTCATCGTAAACAGTCGTAGTGTTACTAATCAGATTCTTTTTCCTACCTTCGTTCAAATTCGACAAATATGACATAAGCTTATCGGGTATTCCATCTATATTATACGAAGAATTTTTTTTATGTTTATTACTGTTAGAACTTTCTGCTTCATTTGTATTTTCCTTTCGTTTTCTTTTGGTCCTCGATTCAGAATTAGTTTCAGTATCACCTAATCGCGATTCTTTGGTGGTCGACTCGTTGGCATTTTTTAATGGAATAATATTCTCTTCTGGGCTCAATAACTGACGCATTATTATAGCACTGGTTTGCTGTATTTTCTTGTTCATATATTCTTCCGTGCCTTCTTCAACCGGCGAATTGGGTCTTGATGGTTGCTTTTTAGCGTGCCATTTTTCATTGGAATGCCAGTAATTTCTGTCTGACGGGCGGTGGTGGTAATTTCTATTTGACGAGTGTTGATAATTTCTGTCTGAGGAGTGGATTCTATGTCGTTCGAAACCCCGACTTAAACTAGAAAAAATCAGATCATGAAATTAAAATTATAATTTTCTCAGATGTAACGTGCCATTTCTTACGAAATGAGACTTTCTAACGTTTTGTATTTACGTCAATGAACTATAAAGATAAAGATAAACCAAATCAAAAATATATTATAATAAATACACGACATACTTGTGTCACGAGGTTTTTCGGACTGGGTTTCAAAAATTTACTTTTGGTAATAAACTTGTAAATCATTCATTTGGTAAAAAAATATTTTAGGCTGTTTTCGCGGTTCACTATTTTAGCATTATCCATGTATCTTAGTTATTTATCATCAGTATAATTTCATTTTTTGCTGAAGAATTCAAAAGAAACACTCTAATAATCACTAGTCTTTTATATTTTTTGTTAAACCCTAGTTTTTTAAACAAAAATTAAAAATGAATATTAAATTTTATCAATTTACAGATATCAATTTTTGGAAAACTGGAGTTTGTAGCTGATTTTTTTTTCTATTTACAAGTTTTTGCTGAAATCAAAAACTAATTGAGTTTTGTTTGTAAACCGTTTTCCAATAATATTTTTATTTCGAACTTGTGAAAATATTTCCTTCTTTATCATATACCTGTAACCAACGGTAGCCTGGATTAGCAAATATAAAGTGATTAAGCCAGAGTCTAACTCGCTCTTCTGATTGTAAAAATTTAGTATATTATATTTTTTATTATTTTTTACGTGTTGTGTAACTAAGTATGAAAGAAAAGTCATGCAGTTACTAGCAAAAGTTTATACTAATTTTATTATACATTTTACTAAAGAAAAATATATATAATTTGATTAATATGCGAATATGAGATTTATTAATTTCCAAATTATATCGGAATTCATGAATATTTTGAGAAATATCTCGAATCGAGAACAATAGACAATTTTCAAAATATTCCTAAGAACAGATTATATTAATTTTTAATTTATTGGAAATATTATAAAATTAACCTTATTTTGCTAATTTTAAATCCTAATGTACTAACACCCTACAATGTCTTTTCGACAATATTCAGCTCATAATGAGTTGGTAAGTAAAAGTATTTTTGAAGCAGCTTGGGATGCCATGGACCAGGCGGCACTGGAAGAATTGCAATTAGCAAAAGATATTGGAGAAGTAGATGAACAAGGAAATGGTCTAATTGCAGTGATTGTTGACGGTGCATGGTCTAAGCGGTCACATAAAGTTAATTATAACGCTTTATCTAGAGTTGTAAGTTTATATTTTAATATTATAACGTGTGATCCAACAACAATGTTTCTAAAGTAAGCCGACAGAATTGTAAAGAATCCGTCATGCGTGATTTTTCCATGGTCTACTTTGGAAACATTTTTATATTTGACATAAAGGGTTTATTTTTAAATGCACTTATTTTTTACAGGCTTGCATTATTGGGGCGAAAACTGAAAAAGTTTCTTTTAAAAGTAAGTATTGTCCTATCTGTGCTCGAGCTTTAACTAAAAACATAAAAGCTGCTATTCATAAATGTTCAAAAAATTGGGATGGTTCATCGACTTCTATGGTATCGAAACTAATTTTAGAAGGATTCCGTAATAGTATAAAAATGCACAAATTTAGAGAGACCCTACGGAAGAACGATGGTCCGCAAAGTAGAATGCATAAACCATCTTCTCAGGAATTATTTCGCAAATTTGTGTGATCTTGCGAAAAAAAATACAGTTCAAAAAACAAAATAGTAAGTCCAGGACTAAAAAAAATTGAGTGATAGGATTTTGAAGTTACGAGTGGGAATTAAATCGGCTGTAAACTTAGATAAAAGAGACCAGAGATATAACATACACCGGTGTTTAACCTGCGCAAATGTTGCCAATTTCTAAAGAAAGGTTAACGGAGTGGGGGAACTGGGCAGGCACCCGAACTCTGTGACAGGGACCGGACTTTGTTTATTAGCATCAAAATGAACTATCAGATTTATTTAAAATATACGTTCAATGGAATTTTGTATTATGAAATAAATTTAACGTGATTTTTTAATATCAAACAGATGCCACGACATTTTATGTAAAGAGAAGATCTTTTATAGAATATTTCGTTAGCTATTATTTACTACGGGCTTTTATGTAAGAGACTACAGTAAAATGTTAAAATAGAATATTGTTAATCGAGTAAAAAATGGTACTCATTGTCTAAGAGTATCATAAAAAAAGCATGTGCGCAGGCGAATACTGCAAATCAAACCTTGTGAGTTGAACATTATATTTTTTCTACGACTACCACATAATATTAAAAATTAGTCAAAATGAGAAAATGCTGATTTGTATTATAACCTCAGAAAAAGATATATTAAAGCTTGTTTCTTTAGGAATATTTATTAATATAGAGGATGAGTCACATAAAACTCTAGAAATGCATATGTCTGAAACCAGATATTTTAAAATTTAAACCTATTAAAAGTCATTTGGTCGTTAGGAGTGGTTGATTATCGAAATAAATTATTGATTATTAATAATAATCGATTATTTTCGATCAATCGATTATTTTCAAACAATCTATTTTTGTTCGTATTTCCTTCAAAATCTTTGAAAAATGAAAAATAGATTAATTAAAAAGCCAATTAACCGATAAATAAGTTCTTACAAAAAATAAACGAATTATCGTTTATTTTAAATAATCGATTATTTTTAAATAATCTATTTTTTTTTTCGTATTTCTATTGAAACCTATTATTCGATAAAATAATCGATTAATCAAAAATAATCGATTAATTAAAAAGTCGAATAATATACTCTCTTTTTGTAATCCCTTTATAATCGATTATTCCATTACCTAAAAAAAAAAAACGAAAACAATTTATTGAAAATGTTCGATTAATCAAAAATAATCGATTAATTATAACGGATAAATCGATTTTCATGAAAACGATAAATCGATTATTTTTGGAACTCCTATCGGTCGCATACTTTTATCCGAGCATTTAGCTCCAAAATTTAGAGATTCGGATTTATTGATCCTGTTATCTTTGAAACCGCATTGGATTGTATAATAAATATTGCTAAAATTTAGATTTTTTTTAGTAAACGAAGAGTTATTTAGGGGTTTATAATGTAACATTTTACTAATAATATGACTAATTTCCGTAACTTTAGTATTTTTTGCTTATACTAGATCATATTGAGCGTTTTACTTTATTTTAAGACTTAAGATTCAAATGTCACTTCCGATTTAACCGCAAATAAAATGAACCTTGAAATTTTAAGTAGGTGAACCTGTATTTCATCTAATATTCTTGTAAAAATACCTAATAAAGGGCTAAAAACCACCTTTAGTAAATATTCTTATAAAACTATTTTTAAAAAACAAAATTTCGTTAGTAACAATGCCTATTTACTTCTTATTTAGATTAAATGTTTAAATGCTACTCTTTTGTAAATTAATGCATTATGAAATCTATTTTCTGAAATATTATGTATTTGATGCTTAATATTTATTGAAACCCCTTAATGTGGATCTGAAGTATTCAGCTCAAAAAATCATGGCGACTTTATGTGAAAACGTCAACAAATATTTACCGCTGAAAAAGAAAATATATTTCTTATTTTTCATAACATTGACACTTATATTATTTGTATATACAATTTTTCACCATACATCGTGGCATTTTCAACTTGAAATTGAATAACTAAAACACTTTAAATTGCTAATAACACCAACAAATAATTCAGAAAACGGCGGTACATAATGATTTACTCACGCGGAGACAAGCATAGAATAGAAATTTCGGAGCAATTCGGGTGGCGTCGTGAACACAATGATTTTTAATTGGTTGGGTTACTTGGATTTAAAATAGACAACATGCGCAGTGTGCAATGTTACATCTCCAGTCTCTTTTATCTAAGGCAATAAATTTGGAAATAATTCAAACTGTGCACAATATTTTTGTAAAAGAGAACAAAACGACAGAGATTATGTGACAAAAATGGTAGAATACGGACTTATGGATGACATTATATCTGCTGGTAATAGGCTGGTTCAAAACAGCCACAGTTTATTATTTAAACATGACTAATAATGCTGCAGATACATATAATTAAATCGTAGCCAAACTTGTTGGAGGAAATAGAATTCATTTTGCAGTAAAAAGAGGATATGATGTTCGGTGTACAGCTGCAGCCATTTCTTTTAATAAAAAATGAGTAAACGTAGATGTAGTAGAAAAGCCAGGGGTCCTTAATTAAGAAACGCCAAATAGTCCAATCAAATAGACCTTTAAATCAAAATTTTGGTGGAAATACAGGAATTTTTGATATAAGTAACTTTAGAGTATTTGAAATCGATATGTAAAAAAATTTTGTTTTTCAGGCACCGGCAAATGTCAAAAAACAAGAAAAAGTGTTTTTTAAGGTTATTTAAAAACGGTAGGTGTTATCAAAAAAAGTTTTTAATATAAATTGTAAAGCATAAAGTTTTACATAAAAATGATATTTGACATTTTTTGATATTATTAAAACTGCACAGAGTTAGGGTGGTTAGAAATTAAGAGGAGATA